TTCAACCAAAAGACAAAACAAAGACAAATATTAACTTCACAGTGTTAAAGAATACACAGTTTAGCAGAATTGACAACAACCGAACAAATTTACTTTCAACCAAAAGATAAATACTAACTTCACAGTGTTAAAGAATACACAGTTTAGCAGAATTGGCAGCAACCGAATAAATTTATTTCAACCAAAAGACAAAACAAAAGACAAATACTAACTTCACAGTGTTAATAAACAGTTTAGCAGTATTGGCAGCAACCGAATAAATTTACTAAGCAATCTAATTGAAATGGTTAATCTAAGTGAAATTACGAGTAAATTTATCATCAAGTTAAATATGGAAAATCTTAAACTTACCTCGTTGCGTAGAGTATGAACCTCATTCTGCAACGATACTACCATCTCACGTAGAGCGGCAACCTCACCACGTAAAGTAGACACCTCCACATGCCATATACCATCGTTATCGCGTAGAGTACCGATCTCCTCACGCAAGGCATTGACCTCATCACGTAACTCCCTTGACTCATCCCGTGGAGGTGGAGGTGGAGAACATGGAGATAGAAGTCGTGGCATCTTTGACGGTCGCCTATCATGAGGTGATGGTGGAGAAGAGGCTCGATGATGTGACGGGATAGGTGATGGCTCTCGTTGTAGAGGTGTACAATCGGGTCGATCAGGTTATGGCTCTGGGTGAGGTGATGGCTCTCGAAGTGGAGGAAGTGGAGGCTGCTCATCATTCGTGCCATCAAGAAAACGCTGACTAGCTTGCCACCAATCAGTGGCAAGCTCAACCTCCGTGGGTGTCAGTTTCATTAATGGAGTGTTGGCCTCCTAAAAATATAAAAACTCAAACAAAGTTAAACGTCTACTATTAATAACTTGTTTATATATGATAGTATTTGTGTTAACTTACATTATTTATTGTCGCATATGGTATTAAGTCTTCCCAATTCAACAGACGTTTCCTCTTCCAGGAAATAGCCCTAGGAATATCATTTGAAGTTTTTAATGCATATGTCTGCATGCTGGGGAAAGCCTCGAATATCCAAATCTACAAACAATATAATAACAAACATTAGTAATTGTTAAATAATTAATTATAATTTTGAAAACATTATATAGAAATTCTTACCTTAAAGGCCCAAACAAAGCCTGACAAAGTGTATTTCAACCCATCGCCACGCAAACTTTTGCGGTCATCAAAGGCAGACGACAACTTAGTCCAGGTAGCTTTCCATATATACGAACCCCACGGAAACAGATTCCATGCATTTAGGTCCTCTACCAATAATATTAGCTCCTGAGGAATAGGTTGTCTGGCCTCTCTGCCTAAAAAGCCGGCATACAAAAGTAGTAAAAGGCATACTCGGACAACATCGACGTCATTCATCCGAGTAAAACCATCTTTTTTATTAAACAATTTCTTCAGGTCGTCGACGTGTAAGTTAGGCTTCTCTATTGACTCATCAGGAAAAACCCTGGATAACCATGATGGGCGGGTGATATGACGAGTGAACCGGCCTACATCATCGTGTCCGAATCGTAGACCAGTGATTAAGCAGAACTCATTCCGCCCAAAACAAGTATACGCCGGTGGAAAATGAAACCATATCTCTTCCTTACCACGTTGTATATTGTCGGGTAGATCGCTAGTCATGGTCTGAAGCCACAAATGGGTCAAATTAGCATCTCCACCCGGATGATGTACTCTCAGTCATGACCCGAAGCAGGTTTCCTCAAACAATTTTCTTTGTGCAGGTGAAAGCTTCGAAGCAATTGTAGTGGCTAGGCTAACTTTATTCCTTAATGTCAATGAAGCCGAAAAAAATTTCTACAAAAACAATAAACATACCAAGTTAGATATACCAAAAACTACACTGTGAAGATATACCAAAAACAATAAACATAAATAGTAGTTTATTCCTGAAACTAAAATTTGCAACACTGTTTTGTTTTTTGGTTGAAATGAAAATCGCAACGCGGAAATGACTATCGCAACGCGAAATAAAAATCGCAATGCGATTTTGGTTTTGCGTTGCGATTATCTCGTTACGATTTTCATTTCGCGTTGCGATTCTCTCGTTGCGATTTTCATTTCTCTCGTTGCGATAGTCATTTTCGTGTTGCGATTTTCATTTTCATGTTGCGATTTTAAGTTTAGAAACTATTATTCTTCTGCATTACTTCAACCAAAAGACAAAACAAAGACAAATACTAACTTCACAGGGTTAAAGACTAAACAGTTTAGCAGTATTGGCAGCAATCAAATGAATTTAATAAGAAATCTAAGTGAAATGGTTAATCTATTATTGAAATTACCAGTAAACTTATCATCAATTTCAATATAAAAAACCTAAAATAATGCAAAAATTTCAAAATAAAAATAATTAAAAAAACTAACCCTCGGAGGTTGATTTTCCATTTCTGAATGATTGTGAGGGATTTCTGACCGTGAATGGTTGTGAGGGATTTCGCCGGCGATGGGGACGGAAATCTTTGGAGATGAGGACGGATTTCGCCGTAGAGAGTGAGAGATGGAGATGAGACTGAGTTGTGATTTTAGGTTTTAGTTATGAGTTGCGATTACGGGATATACTGTGGACGGTTCAGTTTCCGATATATTAAGAAATTCGTGTTTGGAATTTAAAAAAAAAATATGCGTTAATACGAATGTCGCTATGTAAATCGCATTGTGATAGTCAGATTCGCATTGCGATTTACGTATTCGCATTGCGATTTTCCTAATTCGCATTGCGATTTACGTAATCGCGTTGCGATTTACGTATTCGCATTGCGAATTAGGAAAATCGCAACGCGAATTTGGGAAATCGCAATGCGATAGTCAGAATCGCGTTGCGAATCTGAAAACTGATTTGCGATACCGGAGATCGCGTTGCGAATTATCGATCGCATTGCGATTTAGTTGGTCATTTTGGCGAATCCAAAAAAAATTGATTAAAATCGTATATTATAAGGCATTTTTTATCATTAAGGTTATTTTCTCTTTTTAATATTACTGTGGTCGAACCAAGTGTTGCAGCACAGTTTGCACAACACGGTCAGTGGATGCAGTACCCGCAACAATCCCAATATCATCATCCACAACAAAGTATAATGGGGGTTTATATGCCGGCTCCTATGCCACAGCCATTAGCCTTAGTGACTCCTGGTGTAATGGATTGTCTCTTACCCAGAGAACCAGGTGGCATTGCCTTTGTCTTTGATGGAAACATTATCAGATACTCAAGACATCTGGAAGGAAAAGAGGTACCCCAAGGACATAGTTGAAAAGATTGTTGAAAGGGCACGCAAGAGGATGATAAACAACAGCTAATCTTTGCCACGTTCACGAGCAAGGAAGCAGATTGAGTTCCATTTATTTTTTCTCTCAGACTTGCATGACCATCACACTGCTCCTTTTTTTTTATTTAAAATGTTTTTATGATATCATTTTCTGAATTATCGAGTAAACCTAAAATATATTTATAAACAGGATTATACTAATGAACTGGAGAACAAAGTTTCATTACAATCCTATTTACACTCAATTCATTGGTTTAAAGTCGTGTACTTGTGACTGTCTGGCCTTAATCCCGCCTTTTACTAAATCCTATATGTTCTCAGCAATATTAAAAATTATGGCGAGAGTTTGTTTAAATTTGGTTTTCATTTCGTAAGGAATGTGATTCAAATATAGTGGAAGCGGTGGGTGTTTTAAAAAATATAAATTAAAAAGTTTTTTGGGATAAATTAGATATAAAATCATTATTCAATGACCTATTTAATATTTTAATAGTACTTTAGGGATAAAATTAAATATTAATTTCTTTTGACATTGTCATGTCGTCAACTTAACGGAGATGACGATAAAGTAACTATTTTGTTATAAATTAATATCGTTAAGACCATTTTTGTTATAAATCAATAACGTTAAGACCATTTTTGTTATAAATCGATAATGTTAGTGATCAATTTATTACTTTAGCAACTTTAATACTTTGAAGTTTATTTTAAAATTTTAATATATTTTAAATAATTAAATTTTATAAAACTAAATGGGTAAACTACGCTGTTAGTACCTAAATTTTAGCACTTGAATCTCCTGGGAAGAAGCACTCAACTAGGATTCTTCTTCATATATTTTACAAACGTTTAAAATAAGCATTGATACAGTGAAATTCTAAAAGTACTTTTTTGAACCTACCCTATGAACAAAATTCGATTAAAAAATCAAAATTTTTTAGATTTGATTAAAAAAATTGAGGCAGAGTAGGGAACAATGATTCTCTTTATGATAAACAGATCCCATATTGCAAGTTCATTATAACTCAAATTAACTTCAAATTATAATTTCATAAACTTATCTCGATTAAAAAAAATAAATTTTGAATTTAACTATAAAATAGAACTCGAAAAGTAAATCAAATAACTCAAAAATAATTTTTAATAATTAATAAATTGATTTTTACGTTTAAATTGAGTTCTCAACTCTGTATAATATATTTACATAATATATATATTATAGAAAACAATTAAAATTAGAATAAAATAATATTATAATATTATAAATATTTACATTTAAATTTAAACATAAACTCGAACGATTCGACTCAATTCAAAAAAATTCAAATAAAATTTGAATTATAAAATATAACTCGTCTATTCAACTAATTCATTTTTTTTACTCGACTCAACACGACAAAAAGCTCAACACAACCATCTCACGAAACTTTTTAAAGTCAATACTAAACTAGCCCTGGTGTTTGGTAGCATTACTTGTTCCGGGCGCACTATTTGTTCCCGGCTAGCCATTAATGCAGCTACCGCATTGTGGGGGAGGGGGGAGTGGCTAGTGCAGTCTTACTATATAATATCATGATGGTGCTGTGGAGAGAATCAAACTGAATGAAATACACGTAGGTCATACTATGTTCAGAGGTTTTGCTTCACAAGAGATTATAAGAGCAAAATAAACGACAATCAAACCAATCTAGCAACAAACGTGACGGAAGGTAAGTGGCAGAACAATAATCATACAGAATTTACAACCAGATAAAGTTCCCATTGGGAAGTAGTAAGCACGGCAGATTAACTACTTTTAAAACTACAACTTAATAACACATCAAACATTTATATAAGCCGTACCTAGAGATGATGCTTCAACTGGTGCTTTCAGATGCAGGGTGCATGGTCAGAGGAACTGGTGCTTGAACTGGTGCATCCAGAACCCGAAAGATACGAACATCCAGGACGATAGGTTTTCTTTCCATATCAGAAGGCTCAAATACGCACACGTCATGTTCTATTAAATTGTTGTCGCTCGCAAAACTCTTCCAACCACCAGAAAGCCCTCCACAATCACGACCTTTGTGATAAATAAATCTGGTCCTCCACGTACGTTCATTAATACGTAGAATGACATCCATGTTTTCTCTTAAGAAATGTTTAGCTGTCCATGCAATAGGGAATGCCTGCATGAACCCAGGAAGACAATGATAAACAAGGCAGAAGTTTAACACCAATCATCTAATTTGAATGAGTGAAGGGACATTTAAAAAACCACAAATTACCAAAGTTCTCAATCAAGTTCAGTGATGAAGTTTACCATATAAAATCGCTTCCACACGTGTGTAGGCTTCATAACCACCATAAAACCGTCTTTGGTTAATGCTTCTTGTGCCTTTAAGAAGACATTTGCTTTCTCAAATTGAGTCAAAGGCGCTTCAAAACATGAAGGGTGAGGGCTGAACTCATCTTCATCAATTCTGGTACCATCAAACGCTGAAACATCGGTATATTTAAAACAGAGTAAAATCACCAGTCACCGAATTTGAGCTTTCTGCAATAATACTACATTTTAATTTCTGTCATTAAAACACACATTCCTAACGTGAGTCCAACAACAAGGCACAACAAATGAATATGTAATATATCCCCAAGAAGCTCCAAAAATCATTGCAAAGACCATAGTTATTTGCAGTATTAGCAAACTTATATCAAAAGTTAAATCCACCATTGAAACAAGTTTTATTTCTAGAAGAAGATTTTAGAAGTGCTTCAACTCCTACCAATTTCTACCTCCACTTCTCCATCAAAAGTATTAAGTTCTTTGCCTCTAAGATGCCTAGCATGGAGTGAATTAGCAGATGAACCTGCACGCTGACCCCTCTTATTAGTAGTTGCGGATTTGATAGGTTGTGTCAATGGCGTTGTGTGAATGTTGTTAGTAGATTTTTCTGGACTGCTTTCAAGACCACCTTGTGAAGAGTTGTGCACAATTTCAACATCATTTTCATCAATCTTTCGTTTTGTTTGGTAACCGTTGTCAGATTCCTTATGCACACACTTCTTCACAAAATAAGAAGATGCCTTCTCGCACAAGCTCCGGCCTTCAAACATAAGAACATCAAAATGGGACAATCCATTGTACTTGAAGATCAAAAGGTCATTCTCTTCCAAAGAATGGTCGAGCACAAAATTTTTCCATCCACCTTCAAAGAACAAGGTCTCATCATATGCAGTCAGTCCTAAATCCCATATTAGACCGCTAGGACCTTTGACAGTCACGGTTTCAGGAAGCTTTTTCATCATATGCTTTGCAAACTTTTCTGGTATTTCCTGCAGTTTCATACATTATTAAAATGCAAGGTAAATCCATTGTAAAAAAAAATAAGGCAGAAGTTCCTGAATTTTGTAGCAAAGAACAAGCCAAAGAATGGTAAAATTGATTGCTAAAACCTTCCTAATACACCAAATTTGTCCCTTCAAAAACCCAAAATAGAACTTCTAGCGTAGTTCAACATTCTAGGTTTTTCAGAGTATTACTTTACTAAGCATATATAGAATAACCAAAAGACAAAGCAAGGAAGGAAAGAGAGGAAGAAAATGCCAAACCGAGAACTTACTAGCCGCCGAAGAAAATCTCCACGGAGAGATTGAGAGAAATGAATGCACTGAAAATGGGTCCAAAAGATTTCCTCTTCCCTGCTTCTACAATTCCCACAAGAATCTCCCATTTGCTTAAACACACAGATCCGCGCTCAAAATCCGGATGATTTACCAAAAAATTAGAGTTGGAGACCCATCAAACCAAAAAGACAAAAAGACCGCACGTCTGGAGAAGCAGGCTTAACTTTTAACTCGTGTACAAAATTGTTTGATGTAAATCACTAACCTCCAAATGCTAATATGCTCCAAAATTCTGACCGAGTAAATTGAGTTGGTTAGTCGGTAATAAATCGGATATATTAAATAAAAAAAACCTATAATTAAATCATAATTTGTCTCAAATTTCGTATATAATATCTAAAATTATACATAACTATTTGATATTTTAATTGAAAGATATTAAATGTTATTTAAATCGAAAAGGCTTAAAACTACCATATTTAACATATGCCTAAGCCGCCGGGAGACAATGACAGCAATTTTGACTTATGGCTTCCATTTAGAAGCCCTTCGTTATTTATTTTGTTCTACGATCACGTTAATTACAATTCAGTAAAGCTTGTAAGCTTCTCAAAAGCATGGCACGTATCTTTGAGTACTGGCAAACTACCCCCTTTGTCAACTCAGTGGCTGCTGTTGGTCTATCTTTCTTCTTCTTCTTCTTCTTGATTTTCCTCAAAAGATTGGTGCTGTGTAGTCGCAACATGGGATCTACCGGCCTTCCAACTGTCCCAGGTACCCTTTCCCAAGCTTGTAAGTTTGAGTATTATGAGATTTAAATGAGATTTTTTTATTTGTTGTTGCAGAGGTACCAGGGCTGCCGATTATAGGAAATTTGCTGCAGCTGAAAGAGAAGAAGCCTCACAAGACATTCACAAAATGGGCAGAGATATACGGACCTGTTTATTCCATCAGAACTGGGGCTTCAACTCTTGTTGTACTCAGTTCAGCAGATGTGGCCAAAGAGGTTTGCCAATCACTGAATGTATTGTCAATTTTTTTTTTTAATTTGCTGAAACAATAGTGGTTGAAAGTAAAACAAAATCAACAAAATTAGATAAAAAATTATTTTAAAAAGCTAAAATAAGAAATAAATCGATTTTAAAGTTTGATAAAGTTGGAATTTTAACTATCCGACATTTTTTTATACAGTATTTGTATTAGATATAATCCATCAAAATCCTTAAAATGGTTGATAAAAATAAACTTTTAAACTCTTAAATTGGAAATTAACAGATGCTTCATGCCTTAAATGTATTAAAATCCATAACATTTGTACTAATAATAGTAAAACTCATTGAACGATCTTAATGATTTGAATAGAGTATTATTGTTCTTCTTAGAATTTTTTAGTTCGAACAATTACATTGACAATAATTTTTTAAAAAATTAAACGGGTACTATTTTATAAATACCTTAAATTATTCAAAAATAATGCCTTAATAGTATCATAGGACATAAGCAAATATATATTTTATTTAAAAGCTCACAGAGCTTAAACTTTTATTACTATTACTAATTATTAATTTTTTACAAGAGGATAAACTTTCATAAATATTATTAAATTATTATAAAAAATATTTTCTAAAATAATAACGATATTTTTAGTTTCCAAACTTTTCAGAAAAAAAGGTTATTTTCAATTTTCAATTTTTAAAAAAATATTTCTAACGTTTGTGAATAGAATAAATTAGATTAGGAGGGTTGCCTATAGTGAACCTCTACAAAACTCGATTTCGGTCAATAGATCAGATACTAATAATTAATTATTTTTTTAAAAAAATGATGTGAACTGATCATGGAGATCTCCAAAAGGTTTTGGGCTATTAAGCCTAACATAAATTTGGGTATTGTTTAAGCCTAATTTGATTTAATATATCGTTATTTTTTGTTATATAAACTGCTGTGCAGGCCATGGTGACCAGGTTTTCATCCATTTCAACGAGGAAGCTATCAAACGCCCTCAAGATTCTAACTTTTGATAAATGTGCGGTTGCAACAAGCGACTACAACGACTTCCACAAAATGGCCAAACGATGCTTAATGACAAATATTTTGGGTTCAATGGCCCAGGTTTGATATCAGGACTCAGGAGCACCATGAACTAGGATCTCCTATGTTTGTGTTTCTGTTCCATTCTCATTTCAAACTTTTGACAATTTAATATTTCTTAGAGACGACATCGACACCACAGAGAAACTATGATCGAAAATGTAGCAAGCGCATTTCATGCTGTGCTGAAGGATGATCCTCTCGGACCTGTCAACTTTAGGGAAGTATTCGAGTCTCAACTTTCGGATTGGCGATGAAGCAAGTAAGTTTTTCTCTTGTGGTGCTAATGGAAGACGGGGGGGGGGGGGGGGCTAGAGAGTTCAAAGATGAGTAATTTGTTAGTGACATGTTGAGAATAAACACCCTGTTGTCAATTTTTGCAGGCTTTGGGAGCAGACGTGCAATCAATTTACGTGGAGGAGCTTGGTGCTACTTTGTCGAGAAAAGAGATGCATCAAGTTTTAGTCATTGACATGATGCAGGGTCTAATTGACGTAGATTGGCGAGATTTCTTCCCCTACTTGAAATGGATTCCCAACAAAACATTTGAAATGAATATCCAGCAAAAGCATTTCAGGAGGATGGCACTGATGAATGCCCTGATCAAGGAGCAGATGAAACGGATTGATTTGGGGGAGGTAGTCTTTTATTCTCAATTGAGTTTCCGACTCAATGTTTTCTGGAACATATCTTTTCTTCTTCCAATAACTCGGCTGGGTCATAACAGGAAGTGAATTGTTATCTGGATTACTTGTTGGCCGAAGCAAAGACACTTACAAAGGAGCAAATAACAATGTTGGTCTGGGAGACAATTGCGGAAACATCGGATACTACTTTGGTCACAACGGAGTGGGCAATGTATCAACTTGCTAAAGATCCAACCCGACAGGTTGTTTTAATTACTAAATTCTCTTTGTTTTATACTTTGTCGCCAGATTCTGACTTTCTTGTTTCGAATTTAACAGGATCAGCTCTATCATGAATTGATAAAGGTTTGTGGTTCTAACAAGATCAAGGAAGATAATTTTTCGCAACTCCGGTATTTGGATGCAGTTTTCCATGAAACACTTAGGAAGCACAGTCCGGCTCCACTAGTAACTTTAAGATATGTTCATGAAGATACGCAAATAGGAGGGTATCATATACCAGCAGGAAGTGAGGTTGGTTTCTCTTCTACCTGGAATTCATTGTTTTTTCTTTATTTCCCCAGTAAAGGAAAGAAATTAAACTGACACAATGTTTTGAGCAGATAGCTATTAATATCTATGGCTGTAACATGGACAAGAATCATTGGGACAACCCTGAAGAGTGGAATCCAGAGAGGTTCATCAGTGATAAAAACGAGCCTTTGGATGTGCACACGACAATGGCCTTTGGAGCTGGAAAGAGGGCGTGTGCAGGTACTCTTCAGGCAATGTCGATCGCTTTTGCAGCGATTGGTAGGTTGGTGCAAGAATTTGAGTGGAGCCTGAAAGATGGTGAAGAGGAGAAAGTTGATACTGTTAGGTTGACCTCTCAGAAACTGCACCCGCTGTCTGCAATCCTAAAACCAAGAAATTAAGAGGAAATACCCTCTACTTTCGGATAAGCTTTGTGAATTTCATTGCCTACAAAATTTAGAAGTAAAACTACTAAGAGTACACCAATAAAGATACTGTACAAGTATAGCCCCCTACTCTCTAGTTGATGTCAGTAGCTAAGCATAATCGTCTATTTACATCATCAGTTCTATATATGCACAATTAAAAAATAAATGAACTTCACACATCCTTTGATAAAATTCAGCATCTGAGATGCTAATATTTCTTGATTAAGAAACTGTTTGTAATTTCACTCTCGCCATATCCAATGCACAAATGCATTCCAAGCTAACCTTAGCAGCACAGAAATTAAATCCTTGCTTTTCAACTTAGTATCCATACAATGAATTTCCTGACTCCAAGCAGCAGGAACTCTACTTAGTGCACAAAGTTGCAGAATAGAACTCCAAATCCCCTTAGGAAAATGACATTCAAGAAACAAGTGATCCCTTGATTCATGACCATTACCAAAATTGAAGCCACCATCAACTTCCAAACCCCAACTCGTCAATCTAATTTCTTTCCAAATTTTGTTAACATGAAACTTTTGCCCCTGTGAAGGTCATTCCCTAACCTGAAAGATTCGAACGACCTATGCCCGAAATCCCAACAGATTTTTTCAGCTCCAACTACAGTTCTAGGCTATTGGAACCTACATGACATCTCGACCCCTTAACACGTAAGCAAAATTCCATACAATCCATAGTGAGTGAACCAGCAACTGCCAGAATGTCATGTGAAGGTGCTTGAGACATGTAGACATATTTTCGTTGGGGTTTAATTAATCTATTATTATAATTATTTATCAATTATTATTGGTTATTTTAATATTCATATTATTTTTAGTATTATTTATAAGAATAGTTCTGTTGTGCGACAGTTTAATTTAATATTAAAAAAATGGTGATTAATGTGTTAAAAATCAAAACATTTTAGGTTTAAGTTGAGCGTAACCTAAAATGTTATATTTTTACTGATATTTTCAATTGAACCCTAAAATGTATCGAAGAATATAATATTTTTGATGAGCAACCGAAAATGTTTTGAAGAATGTAATATTTTTTGTTCAACCAAAAATGTTAAGGAAAATGTAACATTTTATATTACGTTAATCTAAAATATTATGATTTATCATATTCTTGATTGCAAACAAGGACGCTGATTTTTAGCTTTAAATTAGGTTGCCGATCTTTAAACTTCCTTTTATTTATAATTAGGGTAAATTATATTATTGACCACTTAACTATTTCTTCTTTTCATTTTGACCACCAATTTTAAAATTTTGTAAATCAGATCACCCAATAATTTAAATGTATTCAATTAAACCACCCACCACTAACATTTAATGGAAATGTTGACGTGGTAGTTAATAAAATTAGTAACTACACATTTGGTCGCTCTTACTTATATTCTATCAATTTAGTCTCAATTTTAATAAATTAAAATAAATTTAATCCATCAATTAGAGAGACGTGTCACCCTCTGGTGGAAAGAAAATCAAACGCGCTGAAAGAGGTGAACCATATGACTCAAACCTGAGTTGTTTGGGCGGGAAATGAAAAACTCAACCACTAAGAAACGTGTCACTCTTACTTATATATTCTATCATTTTTTTAATTTTATATTTATAATTTATTTAATTTATTTTGGTTTCAGTTTGTGATTCCTTTCTCTCAATTTAGTCCTAGATTTAGGTATTTGACTTAGATTAAACCATTACCTTTCATTTCTATTAATTGGGTCTTTAATTAACTTAGTTAGGAGGATATTAAAATAGTCTATGTTCTTGTTTGGGGTTCTATTTTAATTATTCTATCAATAAAATTTAAAACTTATTAAGGTTTAATATTAGAACTTTGATTCTAGGTTTAGTTCCTTTTAAGACCTTTAAAATTCATACTTTGACCCTTTTGTTATATAAAACATTAATTAACTCACTTAATATAATTATGTTTGTTAATTGACTGTTTGATTGTATAATTTGATTTAAAAAATAAGGCAATGTTTATTTATTTATGGATAGTGTATCCTCTGCTTATGCTCGGGGTGAGTATTACTATTTTTCAAAACAGATCAATATCCTTTTTCAAATTTACGCATCATGATTTCAAAATTATTAAGAGAATGTTAATTAATTAGGATTAATGATAAAATCTTTATTTATGCTTGGGGTAATTATTATTAATTTCTAAATAAAGTATTACCATTTTAAAAAATTGCATCGTAATGGATCATATATTAAATAAAACATTGAACTCGTAATTTTCAATTTTAAAACAATGAGAAATTAGTTAGATATCAATTTTGAACGTTACGGGGTATTAATTTTTCTCTACGTGCAACTAACTAACTTCTGAATCAATTTTTTGATTCCGTAGACCAAAATTGGTATTTTAATAAATTAATTTTTTATTAAAATTATACCATTTTATAAGTCTCACTTTAAAAGTGATTGATGACGACTCTCAATTTTTCATAATATTTCAAAATCTGTCATCGACTCGAAAAGTTGTTACGACAAGTCTCACGCTACCTTCAGCCCTAGGCTTACATACAAGATTCCAACCAACTCCAGCAGTCTGAACTATGACCCTTAGAATCATTATCCTCAACTTTTTTTATTTAAAAGATGAAGCTTTGAGGAATCATCAATGTATTGCAAAAACTAACGCATGCCTTTGGGCTACTAGTGCAGTATACTTGTGTTGGGAGATAAAACGTAGCATTTCCTTCATGTTTATTTATTTATAATGTGGTTTTAATGTGCCACCCTCAGTTACCATGAGAGGATTTTGACAGCAATTTGCTTCTTGTATTTTAGCTAGCATTAATATACCTTCCTTTTAAAAGCACTTGAGTTTTTATTCTCCGAGTAATCACTACTTTTCCAGCTTTGTCCTATACCATAACACCACTTCAGCTTTTCTATATAATAATCCATTTACAAGTCGCTAAAGCTTGTACACTTCTGGATTCTATAAACTTCGAGACAATCGCAATGCTACATATCTTTCAGTTCTTGCAAACTATCCCCTTTCTCAACTCCGTCCTTGTTGTCGGCCTATCTTTTTTCTTCTTCATTTTCCTCAAGAGATTTGTGCTATCGGGTCGCAACATGGGATCTACCAGCCTTCCGACTGTCCCAGGTACCCTCCAATTTCCTCTAATTCTTCCTCTTTTGAACATTTTCTTTCGGGGGTTTTTAATTATCTGCTGAAGATCTTTATTAGTTTCCGAGTTATAATCAGAAATAAATGAAATGGAATGAGTTTTTTTTTAATTGTTGTTGCAGAGGTACCGGGGCTACCGATTATAGGAAATCTGCTGCAGCTGAAAGAGAAGAAACCTCACAAGACATTCACGAAATGGGCAGAGACATACGGACCTGTTTATTCTATCAGAACCGGGGCTTCTACTCTTGTTGTCATCAATTCTCCCGAGACGGCCAAAGAGGTTAGCACTTTGTTTCCTTCGTTTTTCTGGTCTCACCCTCCCATCGCTTGCATCATTGCTGTCACATGATCACTCCTGATAGAAGGCAATCATTGCTACAACACACACGAATCACGCTGTTCATGATGATAAAAGCTTGTTGCCTTTAGTTGCAAAATGGTCTAGGTTTCCCAGGCTTGAATTAGGTATGTGGCACGAACTTTACGGTGTTGATGATAAAAAAATTATTGTTTTGGGTTCCGCTAAGAATATAGTTATAAATGCTCAATATCAAAATACCTTATTAATAAATAAATAAAAAGAATTTGGATCCGTGAATTATTTGAAGGGCATGGATTTTTTTAACTTTATATTTATGTTTAAAGTCCATTCATTACTCTATGGGCAAAAAGATGAACTTCAACCCTACCGAAATCTCGAGTCTGTTTGGGCTATGATTTAGATGCCCAATATTAGCCCAATTTGACTCCAAATTTTACTTAATATATTCTAGGGATATTGTCGCATTTGGTACCTGTATTTATCAAAATATCTTATATGGTACCTGTACTTTAAAAATATCTAATGTGGTACCTCTACTTTGACAAAATATTCAATGTGATACTTAAATTACTATTCTATGTATTATTGTGGTACATGTAAATTTTCATTGAGTGATTTGACACTTACTAATAGTGTTAATTCAAGTACGATACTTGCAAACGTTGTTAATCCATGCACCATAACAATACACGACATAATAATTCAAGTACCATATTAGACATCTTAACAAAATATAGGTACCACATTGAATATTTTATCAAAGCATATGTACCATATTGGACAATTTATCAAATGACGAGTAATATCTTAGACATTTCAAAAATACATATTAGATATTTTGTTAAAGAAAAAATATACCAAATATTTCTTAATCTTTTACAACGCACACCTTAAAGATATAACTATTCAAATCCAGAATATCTAAAGATAACAACATTTATCTTGACCACTGAGGGCACTTAATGAATTCACACAGTACCCACAATTAAAATCAATATTTATCACGATTTATTATCAGAATTATATAAGTATAAGATGAGCCTATTTATTTTGTAGTTAATATGACCCAAAAGACTAGTTAAACCAATATAACCTTGGAATTAGAGCAAATACTGTATCCTTATTCCTTGGTACGTGTGCTAGGTTGTTCCAAATTACTTAAAATCAGTTCATACTATCCTTCGGTTACTCCATCGAAATCCTAGCATTTCACAGGGAACTATTACAGTGGAATTTATATTATATGCTGCTAGTGAAGCGGTCCAGGTTAATTATATTATCTTAATTGTTATATTTGGTTGCTGTATAGGCCATGGTGACAAGGTTTTCATCCATTTCAACTAGAAAGCTATCGAACGCGTTGAAGGTTCTAACTTTTGATAAATGTATGGTTGCAACCAGTGACTACGACGACTTTCACAAAATGGCCAAACGATGTTTGCTGACAAATACCTTGGGTTCAAGTGCCCAGGTTTGCTATCAGGACTCTATGATCTTCTGCTTCATCAAACTTTTTGAGAAACCCAATTTGTTTTTTTTAACCCTTTTGGTCTTACTGTTCCTTTTAGAGACGACACCGACACCACAGAGAAACTATGATTGAAAATATATTAAGCCAGTTTCATTCTTTGGTGAGAGATGATCCTCTCCAACCTGTCAACTTCAGGGAAGTGTTCGAGTCTGAACTTTTCGGATTGGCAATGAAGCAAGTGAGTTTGATTCATCCTTTCAGCTAATGGGAACAAAAGGAATTCAAAGATGATTTTTTTGTTTGTCACACGTTGTGATAAATTCATTGTTACTAATCTGCAGGCATTGGGAAAGGACGTGCAGTCGATTTATGTGGAGGAACTTGGTACAACTTTCTCGAGAAAACAACTACATAGAGTTCTAGTCCTTGATATGATGGAGGGTGCAATTGACGTAGATTGGCGAGATTTCTTCCCATATTTGAAATGGATTCCTAACAAAAGTTTTGAAATGAATATCCAGCAAAAGCATTTCAGGAGGATGACAGTGATGAATGCCCTTATCAAGGAGCAGATGGAACGAATCGGTTCAGGAGAGGTAATCATTTTGTTCTGAAATCTGAACCAAATGTCAAGAGTTATTTTTTCATTATATTCATTTTCTTTTTTCTGATGACTTGGCTGGATGAAAAACAGGAAGTGAATTGTTATCTTGATTACTTGTTGTTCGAAGCAAAGACACTTACAAAGGAGCAGCTAGCTATGTTACTCTGGGAGACAATCATTGAAACAGCAGATACTACTCTGGTCACAACAGAGTGGGCAATGTATCAGCTTGCTAAAGATCCAACCCGACAGGTTGTTTTAATTACTATATTCCCTTTATTTCTTATACTTTTTCGTCAGATCCTGAATCACTTGTTTCATATTTAACAGGATCGTCTCTATCATGAAATAGAAAAGGTTTGTGGTTCTAACAAGATCAAGGAAGAAAACTTTTCTCCAGTCCGATACTTGGATGCTGTTTTCCATGAAACCCTTAGGAAGCACAGTCCGGCTCCATTAGTTCCTTTAAGATATGTTCATGAAGATACTCAAATAGGAGGTTATTATATACCAGCAGGAACTGAGGTTGGTTTCTCTTTTACCTGAAATTCACAATTTTTTTCCTCTGAAGGAAGGATATTAGACTGACACTATATCTTGAATAGATTGCTATCAATATCTATGGTTGTAACATGGACAAGAATCATTGGGAAAACCCTGAAGAGTGGAATCCAGAGAGGTTTATCGGTGAACAATACGACCCTGTGGATTTACACAAGACAATGGCATTCGGAGCTGGGAAGAGGGCGTGTGCAGGTTCTCTTCAGGCAATGTTGCTCGCTTGTGCAGCAATTGGTAGGTTGGTGCAGGAATATGAGTGGAGCCTGAAAGATGGTGAAGAAGAGAAAGTTGATACAGTTGGGCTGACCTCTCAGAAGCTGCATCCACTGTTGGCAATCCTAAAACCAAGAAATTAAGGGGAATACCCTCAACTTAATAAAAAAATAAAAATAAAGCATCGATGAACCATCAATCTCTTGCCAAAACTAATGTATGCCTATAGGCCACCAAGGAATTACTTTTAACTATGTGAGACTGAGGTTTAGTTCTCTGAGTCCAATATAGTTGCATTTGGAGATGAAATTTAGCAGTAAATGGGCTTAGAAAATTGTTCCATCTGAATGCATGTTTCTGAACCATGTCTTGTCGTCGTCATTTGTGAACCTGTCCAATAACAGATTTGGATTGTTTGTGCTATACAAATAGAAGGATAAGCGTTGGGGTAGAGGGACCCAAATAGAAGGATCCTTGAACCATCCCATAAACGGATTGAAAGAAATGTGAGTCAGATGGATGTGTTGGGCACTTTCCTATCCTTGAATATTTCCTTCTCATGTAACTAGGGATGGGCATGGGTCGGGTTGGGTGGGGTTTTTGGTCCACCCGACCCGACCCGAGAACAAGAGAACCTCCACCCGAGATCCGACCAAAATAAAATTTCAACCGACCCGAATATATGACATAGAAACTCGACCCGAAATAATAAAAAATTATTTTTATTCAATAAAAATAGTGACTTAATTGAAAAAAATATATATAGAGGGGTATTATTGTAATTATCCCTAAATATATAGGGTAGAATTATATATTTTTTCGAATCGGGTCAGATCAGATTTTTCACCCTAAACCTGAACCCGACATAAAAAATTCGACCCGAAACCGATTTTTTTAGAAAAACCGACCCGATCGGTCAGGTTTAAATGCCCATCCCTATATGTAACTTCTCTCGCTTAAAAATTAATGCACAACCAGCTACAATGCCTTAATTTTAAAAGTCTGGAATAGATTTGTTTTTTTTTTGTTTTGAAAATTGGAATAGCATTGGAAAACCGAAAATGAGGAAGGGTTAGTGGTGAACCTGTTAGCTGGTCTGGGAACTCTAAAAGCTGTGCCAAAAGGAAATTTACATTATGCGTGCCAAGAAACTGATAGAGACGAGGTGAGTGAATATTTTGAGTCACCATTCCTTCTTTGGCTCACCGCTGCCCCAAACTGGAGCCCCACGCATGCTTAGCCATTAACAGTAACGACCATCCCATCAACCACGTGTTACACTATCAAACCCCTTCTTGACCCCTGTCTGCCATGTACACGGAAGGCAAACCCAGTCTCTTCACTCTTCCTGCGCCACTGAAGTCTGGAATCAATGGTTCAGCCGTTGAGGGCAAGATTAAGACCAGGTCAAGTCAGGTCTCCGAAGCAACGAGAATCCCAGGCTTGCGAAAACCAGCCTCAACCCGAATCAAATTACCTGCTGTTCAATAACAAATCGAATAAACTATTAGAAATACAGAAAGAATATTTGCCATTAAAGAATGATCATGTAAATATACGAATACACTAGGGTGATAACTGAAAACTCCACAACATATACAAATAAAGATATTGGAGAGAGAGAGAAGCAAAATCAAAGGAGCAGAGATCTCGGCAACCGATAAATCCGGCTAACAGAGAGAGTTCAGAGTACCCGGCCAGCAGGCAAAACCCAAATTATTGTTTCCCAAGCTGCCCGACATAATTATATCGTCCATCCACTTTTAGTATTTGACTATACTTGTGCTTCTCTTACATTCTACATTAAATGCCTCCTGTTTTCTCCACCTATACGCGGCTGTTTAAGCTTGATCGTCCCTCGTTTTGAACTTGTCAGACACTTAAGTTAATCGCTCTTCTGTTTAATCAATCTGCACTTTAGTTAACTGTTGCAGCTTGCTTGTTTATTTATTAAAAAAATGCACTAACGAGTAACGACAGCTCTTGAAAGTTCTTTATTATAAGTTGCTTCGCGTAGTAGAACTGTGTATATATATATAACAATTATTTTATTCAGGTTTCTCAATTCCTCTGCTATTACTTTATATCCAATCCAACATCAACAAAACCCTCAGATATTCTCTTTTATAACATCCAAAACCTCTCTCCCAGACTACTCCATTCTCTCAGAAATCTCTCTTTTATCTGTCAAAGAATTGATCTTGACTCACACTTTCCCATTCATATTCCTTGAAACAAGAAAAGAAATGCCTGCTGATTCCGGCGACCGGCGTCAGGTTTCAGTTCCAGGAACTATGGCGTCGCATCCACCACCTAAACTGACCGAGCCACTTCCATGCCCCAGGTGCGACTCAACCAACACCAAGTTCTGCTACTACAACAACTACAACCTCTCTCAGCCTCGTTACTTCTGCAAGGCATGCCGCCGTTACTGGACTCAAGGTGGAACTCTCCGTAACGTGCCTGTCGGTGGTGGTACCCGTAAGGCTTCTAAGCGCTCTCGATGTTCATCTGGGTCTTCTACCTCTGTTGCAGTTTCTTCTTCCTCGAGCGTGACCCATGAAACCGAGTCTGCTCCTATGGTTGTTAACCCTATCCCCGTTATGCCTGGACTTGGAATTAAACCTGAAATGGGTTTAGCTGACGTTAATTTGAACGAAACTGTGGATCTTCCCGTGAATGGAGGCTTCACTTCATTCTTGAACTCTCAGGGAGAAGGGTACTTGACGCTTGGTGGATACGGATTCGGAGCCGGTTCAGGGTTTGACGGGGGTTGGGCTTATCCTGGAAATAGTTACCTAGGTGGCCTTAGTGGCGGAGGTGGTAGTGGGTCCGGTGGTGCTGAAGTAAGTGGAAGTACAGGGTGTAACACATGGCAAGCAACAAGCGACGTTGAAGGCAACGGAGCGTTAGTTGATGGGGAGTGCTTTGGTTGGCCAGGTCTTGCAATTTCTGCACCAGGGAAATGTTCGAAGTGAGAACAAAGATTCAACAATTTCAAGAAACAAAAAAGGTGTCGATTTTAACTGTTTGTTTGAGAAGTTTGCCGGTTAATGTTGTCGCTTTTATAGAGAGAAAAGAACAATTATAGTAGAGTAGAAGACTGTTTGATCAAAGTGTGACTTTGTTGTGACTTGTGAGTAGTGGGTTTCTTAATTAATGTTCTTAGGGTTTTGTTTCTCCAATGGTCTCTGTAAATCTTGGTGTCTTGAATACTTTGCACTGGTAAAGAATGAATGGATAAACCACAGTTTTTTGCAAAGTTGAAATTCTTCATTGTAGAATTTGCTTTGCTTTCCTTAGTAATAGGATGCATAAATGTTGACTCCATGCCATAACCAATTATGCAGTTCTCAGTAACATCAACCGAATTTTGAGAAATCGATGTTGACCCCTTTTTCCAACCCGATAGGGTTAACATTGGCCCAGACCTGTGCTTTCAAATTACTAATTTCAGACAAGGAAAAAACAAGTAACAAGTGGACCTGGAATTTAGAACGAAGATTTGCTTGTTACCAGAGTGACATTCCTCCAACAAGGGACAGTTTCAGAAGCATCTTCTTCACAGTAGCTCTTTAGTAAAAGTTATTGCTTCCATGTCCCTACCTGGGCGGGGGCCCTTCCACTTAATTGAATCCCATCCATTCCAGGTTGAGACCAGGACTAAGTAGGGGAGAACTTATGAAATTATATATATATTTTATATTTTCCTAGTTTCTTTATTAATAGTTGGGTTAAAAAATGTTAGATTGATGACATATAAGTTCATATATTATCTATTATTGACTCCTTTGGGAGCCAGTGGTATATTAATAAGGGTAGGATGTTCTTATCTATCCATCAAATATATATTTTTATTTATTTTATGATTAATTACTATCTTAATTTTTTTTGAACGATTATACTTTGAAAATCATTTAATTTTCCTTCAATGATTTTAACAATTAGTTTTTTTTTAATTTTAAAATAGATGTTTCATAATTTTGTGTATAAATATGATTTATTTGATTTTATGGAATGCAAAGGAAGGGAAGCTATGTAATCTTGAGAAACAAATTGGATTACACATTAGTATTCCTATTTAGAATTATCTTTATGGTTACCTCCGTAAGCCAAATTCTTGTGTTTTCCTTTTATTCTCTTTTGACATTGTAGGCAAATTCTTCATACCAAAGAGAATAAAATCATGGACAACATTGTTTTACATGTGTATGTATGGCATTATTTACGTTAATAATACGATTATTATTTGCAAATTCAAAATTAGCACACATGGTATTGATATTGGTATTCAAAATGATAACGATGCAGGGGTGGTCAATTATTGTGTCTTAAATTATTCCCTTTGGGATAGTGGGAGGTTGAACGTCAAGGCAGCAGCCGGATAATGTGCTCAAAGTGCATTTTTTTAAAATGTATGGAACATTGTCAGGTGTATTCATCATTTTCATCATCAATGTGGGGTAGTTGTTAGCCCCACCTTATATACCATACATTCATCCTATCCCAGTACTGATGTACACCATGGGGCTTAATAATATATAAAACTTTAATTTTTAAAGAAAAGAAAAAGTGCATGAAGGTAGGACCTGTTTTAACAAGAGCCATCCGATTCCATTGCCACTCGGCCAACTTTAAAAACAAAAACCTCTTTGAAGCTGAAATTTGTGAAGTCAAATGCTCAGCTTTTGCCAAACCAGAATCTGAAATCACCCACTTTTGATAACCTTGAAACAAGCAAACTAAAGGCGTAGAATGTTCCGGTTGTCCGTTTGCGATGACTAATGAGGACAATTCCATGTTTTTTTAAACCATATGGCTTCATTGGTGATTTTATTATGTCTTGCTTTTTTGTTTATGTTCGGTAAGTTTCCCTGCAGAATGGACAGTGACAATGAAACTTTAGTTACTATGTCTGCATGCGCATCCCAACATGATGCCCCCCCCCCGTAATTGACGGATTATTATTCATGCATGATGATATACAGTGTTTTGATTACAATCCCCATTTTGCTTCATTATGATATGTCCAGATGATAATTACAGTCATTTGATCACCCATCCAGATGCTTGAAGACATTAAGTACTTGGTTTATTAATTATTACTATAATTTAGCTGACAATATTTATGAAAGCACACTGCACACAGCAGCGATTATAGAGCAAATCAGGGAGAAGGACTTGCACGTTAGAGTGGTAATAATAGCACTCAATGATCAATCCATAGGGCACCGCTCTCCTTTCATTGTCACTTGGACCCTTCCAAAACTAATAATAATATAGTTCCGTCGATATCAACTAGTGACATTTTAGGTGGGACTGAAAATCGATGGATTGCCATCACTGATGGGGTGGTACTGGTGAAAGCTTTCACCAATCACCATTCGATTTGTTTTTTGACTGTGTTGCGTAGAGACCTTGAGCATAATTTGATGAAATTGAATTTCAAATTAAGGTCTTTGTTAGCTTAGTTATATTAATGATGCCAAACTCGAATCTAAGATTCAACAAGTTTGAGGAGTTCATGAACAGAATATTACATTGGCTTGGCTCTTGTTCCATGCATTGTCCTTTTCATTGTTCATGACAGGGAGAAGAGAAATGAAGAGAATGCAATGAGCCACAGAAGAAATCTATCATTGGATGTGAACTTTGCATTACACAATTAGGTAAGGAAAAGAAGTGAATTGTTGTTACATCGATGGACAAATTCCACTGAATTCAAAAACCCAGTTTTAGGTGTTATTATCTTCTTAATTGGGCTTGAAGAATTTCAACTTGAGGCCATTGTTGGCAATGCTCCACACGCCACCAATAGAGAAGACCAAGCTGAAGGCAATACCCAACCAACCGAGGATCCAATTGAAGTACCAATTGAAGCTGTATTTTGCAGGCCTTTTGATTAGAACCCACATGAAACAAGGATAAGCAAATGTAACCGGAGAGTGAGTCCTCCCAACAGTCCAGCAAGGCTTGAAAGGAATGGTAGTGCCACTCCTATGAAGAAGGACACAAATCCGAAGAAAACACGAAACCCAGATCGAACCAGATCGAGCAAGGGCGGTTAGTACGGCTAGTATATCCAGCTTCAAAGCTGTCGAAAGCCGGCATTGAATATATTTGGAAACTGCTCAGACAGTTGAATACCACAAGAAGAAAAGTCAAGGCAAGAAGTCCTCTTGATATGTGGTGACTGTGAAATCCATAAAGTGCATTCAGAATCCCTCCTGAAGGCATCTAAATCAAGAGAAACAAGTGAAGTAAGCAATAGGTTGATATTGCATAAGATACTGAAAAGGTACAACACTTACAAGGTTTCCATAAGCCCAAAAGCCTCCAATGGCAACAGGGAAAAGGCACGTGGCGATGAAGAATAAGCAACCTTGGCTCCTCTCCACATGGGCACATGAGCTGGGTGTTTAAATGTTGATGGCATTGTTGCCTGAAATCAGCCATAATATTACCATCCTTAGAAAAGAAGAATGACTATTGTCATAGTGATACTTCTTTAACAGTGTGAATATATACCTGAATCTCTAAAACTACATTATGGCCTCTGAATGCAAAGGCTACAATTCCGAGTGCATTCATGACTGAGAAGAAAGCAGCAGCAGGATGGAAATGAGACAGGTTCATAAGAGATTGTGGGTGGTCTTGTTGGCTAACAGAGAGCACCCACACCATAGTGGAGTATGTGATGGCTGTGACGGCTCCTACAAGAGAGAGCCCTGCAATTGAATTAAGATTGGGGAGCTGAGATAGGACAATGCACAACGAAGTGAACACCAGATACCACTCAACTGTCGTCAAGGATTCGACGAACACTGAGGGCCACAAACAATCTGGAAGAATAGTTTCATGGTCTCCCCTCCTATGAGAATCAAAGCTGTTGCAGTTCCTGCTGATAAATAAACTGTTGGAAAGAGAGCAAGCCAAACTCCTAATCTTTCTCCTGCAAATAAAGTAAAAAAATGGCAGATGAGTTAAAATCCACATGTTTGCATAAAGTTAAAGGTTCTTCGAAGCCATATAATTTCATGTTTTTCCAAATGTTGGAAAATGGCAGATAATAAAGAACTTTTGAAGCTCGAAATCAACTGCATTAGTGTAGAATTTGACATGAAATTCAAATTGCAAGTTGCAAAACTAGCTACAACTATTTTTTGATTGACAACCATGTTGATGCATTTTTACTTTTTCTTCTTCCATCTTACCCTAACATTAACTAGACTGCTATTAATAGAGAGGTAGAGTTTAAACAAGCAGACAAGGTTTAAATGTGTAAAGGATCTGTTCTCACCAAAAGCTGCTTGTGCGAGCTCCACATATCTATTGTACTCTTTCCTGGAACAGCTTCATGCAACTGAACCAGAATCCATAAGGTGTAAAGTTGCCAACAGTAGGCTATAGTTAAGGATAATATACCCAAGTCCTACAGAAACAACCGCAAAAGACACTTATCGCGTGAACAGCATTTCTGCAAATCCTTTTAACAGTATTTAAAAATTTGTCTCCTATCATTCAATAATTTTGTTTCACCCTCCTATTTGCTTTAATAATTATTGCATCTAAAGGGTACTGGAAAACCCTTATAATTCATGAATAATTTGACCAAAACACTACCAAGGTTGATTAAGCTTGTCAATTAGGTTCAAGTCCAATGCTCTTGGGAGCCTTTAAAGTAAAGGACATGTCCATGTTATGTTAAAAGGCAGCATATTTTATTTCTGCACATGCTCATCAGCTGACATTATGCTGTATAAAATCATGAGAAATGGATCATGAATCGGGAACCAGGAAAAAGCAAAACAAATAATAATAATAATAATAATCAATGTTAAAGAGCCACCTCCAACTTAATCCCATAAAAAATAACCAAAAATAAACAGGTGGACCCGGAACATCTTATTCTCTCGAATAATTCAACTAGTGAAAAATCTGAAGATAACGGGGAAAAATACTTGTTTCAAGGAGATTATTCTTTCTTCTATGCAATTCAGATACTTGATATTAGCATAAAGGGTAAATAAGGCTAATGTGGTCCTCATAAACTTCAGTCAAATTCCACAACTTCATGTTAAGACTGAAACACAGTAACTTTCACCAGAAAAGGAATATAAAAAATGACACTGCTGACCTTAAAGAGACAAAAGACATTAATGTGATATTGTGAAAACTGAAAAGGGGTATGTTCCTAGGTGATGAAAGCTGGAAAAAACATAAACAAACATGCAAGAAAATGAAACAGTAGCTGAACAAAATCCAACTTCTAACGAACAAATATTTTAGAGAAAAAAGGGCTCTAATATGCAAGCTAGTAATAAGAAGGCTTGCAGTGTTGAGGTTTTAGGTGGGAAAATGTTCGTACCAGCCTAGAAAGGCAAAAGCAACAGGCAAACCAAAGCTTGGAACCCAACCCCAGCATTGAGATTATGAAACGCAGCGTAATGAGCGTTCCCATTGCGTGATTCAGTGATGGGAAGCCAAGCATCTTGAGGGTAAGCTTGTGAGATGACCCACTTCTTCCAAGAACCTTTCATATTGACCAAACCCTTCATGGAGTCCCTATTGGACTCAAGAACCTGGGGGATATAAACGACGTTGGTCCATGCTGTCGACGACTTCTGCCGCGGTGACCTCTGCCCTGAAGGCGTCTGTATTTCCGGCGTTGATACACGTGGCGTTGCTGGTATGGATATCAGCTCTGCAGTGCGAGAATTATTCGTCGCCTTTATATTTCCTAGTGTTGCAGTAAGGGAATGGACATAAATATAGTAAAAAAGGATCGTAGCAATACTTTTTGCACATCATTAATCACCAACGTTGATCAACAGAAAAGAAATAATTAAACGGTGACGATCTACTTTCATCTTTCATCTGAAATCTTAAGATATGACGTGGACGGGTATGATTTTGAATGATGGGTTGAGACTGAGAGTAAGTAGCATTGGTTGATGGCGGTTCTGATTACGGAAGGATGCATCTGACCGCAGTATGGACATGTGTAATCCAACAAATCCAAGTGTGTTTGATGAAAAGTGTTGTATGGGTGGGTCCGACGTCTTGTCCCGGATTTTACGGATATAGAGAAGTCAGGAAAGGGTTCACGAATTACTCGATACCAACGTTGCTTTTAGCACTTCGGCGTGAAGTTCTAAGCAACGATTATTAAGACAAACGGACGAATTCTCTTGTCGTGAATCTTCTGCTCTTCAGTTTAACTAACAAAATCAGACCCTTGTCATTTAGTAATTTGCTAGGCAACAATCTATTTTTGCACATGCCCAATTAAAAAAAACACTATACGTTTGGATTATTAATTTTTATTTATTAAAATAGCACGACTATTATTTTTATATTTTGTGTTCAGTTAATATTCGAAATATATTTTTTATTTTTTAATAATATTATTCTTAAATTAAAATAAATGTCATTATTGTATTCTATATTATTAATAAAAATATTATTGTATATTTATTATTGTATATTTATTTAATTATTGAATGAATGGTTCTTTTAGGATTTGAATCAATGAAAATAATTCTAATTATAATACTCTTGTCGTCCCATAAAAATATATTTATTGACTTTTAAAAGTTAATTTTTTAATTTTGACTATTATTCTTAAATATTTTTAAATAATTAAAATTTTAAAAATATATAATTGAAAAAATACTCGATTGAAGTTTTTAAATATTTTTTTTTTACATATTTTATCAATAATAAATTTTAACCAATAATTAATCAAAGTTTTAAAAAAACTGACCCAAAAAAGACCTATCGTAGACAAATTTTATGGGACATAGGGAGTAGTAGTTTTTAATGCCTAAGCTTTCCTATTCCATTTTTACTTTCTAATTTAGGTATTTGATTTCAAAAATAATGGACGAAAACAAAGAGGCAGGAAAAATACATAGTGTGATACTCTATGCTTAGTTTTATGTTTACATTTACCCTCTGTTTTGAAAATCGGATCGGATAGGTCGGTTCAACCGGAAACCGTTGTTTAGTCCGATTCAATCTAAATCGGTTGAACCGTTATTAGTGAACCGGTCAGAACCGCTGAACCGTTCGAACCAGACCGGCTTGAAAATTAGAAAAAATCGGGAAAAAATCGGAATTTTGTTTTAAAAAAAATTAAACCAAACAACGCGTTTGTTAAACGAGCCAAGTCAAACTCGAGTATTGCTGAGCTCGACTCGAACTTGAAAACTTTAAAAGTAAGCTCAACTCAACTCAAACTCACAAGCTAAAAATTATCAAGTTCAACTCAAATTCGAAATATATATTGAAACTTGAACTCAAAAGGCTTGAACTCAAAAAAAATTAGAAGCTCGATTGAAGCCTAAAATTCGAGCTTGATTGAAGTGAAAGAATAGTTCACTCAATACTCACAAAAGGTTCTATGGTTTTGAATGCCAAATTACCTCTATTATTTATAGAAGTTAGTTGTGATGCGCTTATGTTTCTTAGCAATGTGAGATTGTTTTTTCTCATATTTTACTCTTTAGACTTTTGGGATGCTCTTCTATGTTTCTTAGCCATGTGGATTGTTTTTAAAAAAAAAATTAACCAAACAATATCATTTTGTTATGATTTTTTAACCCAAAATTTATTTTTAATTATAGTTATATATTATATTTATTTATGTTTTACCTTAATATTATGTTATAGTTATTTGAATCATTTTGTTTCACTTGATTTTATAGTTTTTAACTTATACATGTTATGACTTGCTTTGAATATGACTTGTGATATAAAAAATTATTTTTATAAATATTTTTGGTATTTTTATATTATTATTTTTTTCTTTTTGCAGCTTTTGAATCCTCAGACTTGCAAAAAGGTAAAAGCTTGAGTGAGGGATTGGACCTCACCCCGCCGAAAGGAAATCCGAGGTGGTCACTATTGCCTTATTTCCATCTTCCATTTTCAAGAATTTATTGTATAAATTAATTAGGGTAACGGTCCCATTGAGATCTTTTGAAATATCCTTAAATCGTAACATATGATTTTTTTTTTCAACCAAGGAGGAAAAACAATCCATTCCCTTTCTTGGCGCTTGTGTCACAAACCATACACCCATTCCATAGGTTTGTCCGGCAGACACTGGCTTGGAATCATGGATGAATCGAGGAGAGTAGAGGCAGTCGTTCTTTCTAAAAATTTAAAATTATATATTTTATGCATATTTTATTAAAATCTATTTTCGTCCCCGAAATTTTTTAAGTTCGTCCCTTTCAAAAATTTAAAAATTCGTCCCCTAACATAAAATCTTATATCCATCTCTTGGAACGTACCAAATACACTTATTGTTCTTTCATGCGATTCTACATCAATTCATAATTTTACAATAATCTTGTGAACTTAGAAATTTAAATTTGGTTTGAATTCTAATAAAAAATTAAGTTCAATTTTAAAATTAATAGTTCATGCTGTCAAATTGGACTTGAAACTCTCTTTAGTTCGAATTCTAATAAAAAATGGCTCGTATGGTAGTGTCTACTTTAGGGCCGAACTTGTTTATTCGTTGGTATATTGCACCCTTGTTTTTTTATCGGTTTGCTTCTCTGGTTCTTGATCGAGCTTGTTAGTTGTTACATGGTCACGGGATCAAGTGAATCACATTGGTTAGCAGAGTTCATCATTTCTTTTGGGTGATTTTGCAGGTTGTGCTTGAAGGTTATGTTTCTCGTGCTGCGAGATACTCGCGACAAAGTTTGATTTACATAACTTGTAATTCAAATATCATTTTTAACAATGACATTTGCTTTTGGAATGCATTGGAAAAGCTACAACGGCAAGATTGCAACATGTTTCTTCAACCTACAGAACGAATGTACATTTGTGCCGGCAGATTCTCAAATTGGTAAGAGGAGGCACTGTTGAAAAGTAGGAAAGGGAGGCCTGTGACTGTGAATCTGCGTATGGTTGTTCAATCCCCATGTATATGCATCGATTTTTTTTTCTCACATCATGTTATGTATATTGGTCTACTTCCAACTTTTGATCTAATTCATGTGAATCACTTGTTATTACATCAATATAATCTCTATGCCTCTGAATCCTTATCAGCATTGCCATGAACAGATTTTTCTACTTGGTTCATTTCCTCCACGTTCTTATAATTGTACCAAGAGGCGCACACCAAATAAATGAGAAAGTTAAGAGTACTCAACGCTGATAATAACTAGTAGAAATAGTTTAACTTATCTCTGTTGAGGTTGTTTGAAGCCAACCAACCCCCGCTGGCCTTGTTCACCACTTCCACCACTACTGAGCTTGTAAAGTGCCAACTGCTAGAGAAAACCAGAGGAGAGCTGTGTGGTTCCTTTCATTCCAGCTGAGCTTCCGCGTGGTAGAAATGTAGCAGCCCCATAATGTGAACATATCAGACAGCCCAAATACGGCGTGTTGGAACCCAAGCCAAAATACACTCATTGGAAGAGGCTCGGTAGAATCTACCATGTTGTGCTTAAATGCCACCGATTTACGCCTGGTTTCAATGACTGCAGAGATTGCCATGGAAATGGTTGAGAGAACCAATCCCACTCCAATTCGCTGAAGATGCCGGATTCCTGTTGGAACTCCTGTTATTCTTCGGGCGATTGGAAGGAAAATGCGGTCATAAATTGGAATGAAAATCAAGTTGAATGTCAGGGGAATGACAGGAAGGGAGGTGGGGGGGATTTTGAAACCAAATATACGAGTGTCCAGGGTCAAGCTTTGTTGTATGGAAAATGTTTGGAGTTGAGCCAACAAGTATTTATGAAAACTGTGCTGAGTACGATCGGGAGCATGCGAAGTAATATTTTGGTTTCTTCTAATTGGGTCTGTACTAAGCCTCCAGGGTCCTGGGGTCATTGATGCTGATGCACCCCGAGAGGTCATGAACTGCTGCTCGATCCAAGAATCTAAGGATTTGTTGATAAATTCACGTTAGGGCTAGATTACAAATGAAACATGAGAAACGAAACAGTGTACCTAAACTGATTGGTTCTGAATAACTTCTGGCACCACCACTGTTCCTTTGTCATTTATCTCATATAATTCATCGTCCTTTCCCGGTATAGGAAGGGATCTTTTGCGGATGGCAGCAACAAGTACCTTGAAATGGGAAAACAGAGGCTATGATTCTTGAACTCGCATTTTTACATAGAAAATAAAAACAGTAGCACGTCTGTATTATGATGGAAAATTGGAAATAGACTTACCTGTAGGATTCGAATAATGGGGCTTCCTTTAGGTGCATTGTCCCGATAAAATGGCTTGCCAATGAACACCAACACAATTGCAAGCAAGACTGCCACGGTGCAGACTCCAAACGCCCAATCCCAACCAATGTTAGAACTAATCCACACTAGAAATGTGACCCCGGTTATAGATCCACATGTCTGGCTAAACGTGTACCAGTTGAAGTAGCTTGAAAGTTGAACTGCCTCTTTAGGGTCCTTGCCGTCGAACTGGTCAGCTCCCAACAATGGCAAAGCCACCTTAACCCCACTGGTTCCTAGCGCCACAAGGTATAGACCAGTGTAAAGAAATGCTTCTTGGCCACTATTGAAGCCTCGCATGGTTTGAAATATCGGTGCAAGGAGTTGGCCTCAGTTGATCCAAGTGTGCTTGTACTGTCAGCAGGGCATATCCCTTAAAAAATTAAGTATCAGATCAGATGATTTTGGTTATTAAAGTATCTAATCAAGATGAGACGCTGCATATATTTTCTAAACAAACCATAGCTTTACTCTAGAATTTGATTGATGATCGAACAGTTATAAATGCATAGAACCGTTGTTAAAATGTGCATTTTTGTGACAAGCAGTTCTGATCTAATGCCATGTTACGTGCGATTAGCATGTGGAAACGAACAAGCTGCC